TATATATAAATATAAAAACCACAAAAAGGACAATATACCTGATTGGAGAGGCTATGGGCTATGGAATACTATCACTTTCAATTGTATTCCTATATATAAATATTTATATCCATTAATTTATATTTCAGTTAATTTTTTTCAATTAATTTTAATTATTTTTCAGTTATAATAAATACAGGATGTAACTAAAAGACAAACTTTGGGGACGATTTCTCCGTCAAACATAAAAAAAAGTTGATATAAACATCCACTGTTATCGAGATTATTAATAGGGCTCGGACACGATCTCTTGATCTCAATCCGATTTTTATAGGGCCACTTAAAACTCTTTTAATTTATTCAAACTGACATGGAAGGTGTGTGTGTGTGTGTGTGTGTGTGTGTGTGTGTGTGTGTGTGTGTGTGTGTATATATATATATGCTATTCCAAGCATCTTTGATGCTTATGAAATAATTCGCAACCGCTCGGGATTTATGACATTACGATTCCAACATGGCCGCGACTAGTAAATAGCGACTAGTAAATAGTTAAAAATTGAATTTTTGAAAGAAAAGCGATAATTTAATAACTAAAATAAAATTTTATTCTACATAATTTCGCTTCTCAATCAGAAAATGTCCTTTATGAGATTTGTATAAAAAACATTTAAAAAAAACACGCTTACCTTTTAATATTAAAGAAAATGCTTATACATTGTCAATTTTAATGTTTCATCATTTATACCGGATGAAAACATTGAAAATTCATTCATTTTCTCATAAGTAAATATAGCGCATATACTTACGTATATATGTTACGTATATATGTTACATATAGAATAAATCTTCTACGTAATACACATATAACTCATTAAATATAGGAACATCTAAATCAGTAGATGGATTAATTCATAAAATTGCATGTGTTATTTATTATTATGTTTCTCAATGATCGAGATACATATCCATATCGAAATTCGTACGTAATTCAGCTACTTAATATACAAGATCGCAACGTACATGTTAGAATGGATTGAACTGTAACGTTTCGTTACCTTGATCGGAAGTATTATCGCACAATCTAAAGTATTGTACTAATATATCTCGATACCTTTACGTAATCGAGTATTATTATCAATGTCACAATTTTATGATATTTGGATTCATTTCGGAGTCGCTCTGAAAAACATCCGATGACAATTCCGAGATAATGTTTGAAATATGGAAGTAAAAAAGAAATATATCTGTTTTTAGATTCGCGAACGAGTACTTCGAAGTACATATCTGCCGAATGAGAGTAGGATTGTATCTTGATCTGTAGACTTGTGTCTTGGAATCACGGTACATGTCTATCGACTAAGTATTGTTTATCAAGATATAAATACCTTTCTTCGACAAGAAGCAAACACTTCAAAGCACGCGCTGATCCAGAGAAACGCTTGTCTAGAAAAAAGAAAAAAAAAAAGAAAAGAATCATCCGTCGTATAAAATACGCGTGTACATGGGCTGACAGACTCTTCTCATCGACAATCATCCTTTATCACATACGTTCTTCTCACTATCTAATTAGACGGCGATCGAAAAATATAAAAATCACACGCGCGCAGTACGTTCGTGTCCGACATCCCGTCTCATAGGATCTGCGTCGTCGCAGAGGATCTTCCTTCGCGCCTGTGCCCTATTTAGGATTCATAGGATACATCCGATCTGCGCCGATCGCGCCTCGTCTCACTTTTGACACATGTACGAAGAAAAGGGCTCGGATGCGCGCCGATTCACGCGCGCGAGAAGTCAGCTGCCGAATTTATGCTGCTTCAACGTCTTGATATATCAACGGTAGGGAATAATTGCGCCGTGAAATTCGTTGTTATCACGTGCATAGTTCCCTCCCCTTTCCTCGGAATCGCTCTTCCAAATATCCTGGGATCTGAAAATTCAAAGTTCCACAACGGGCGTTTTAGCGTTTGCCGAAAATATATGTGTGCATTGCGGAAAGAAAAGAGCAATCTACATGTAGACGCAGCTGAGGATGTTTCTCTATCGAAGATACATGCTCTAGCAGATTTGCGACAAAGAGATTTTATTAGCGCATCAAAATAATTGAGATGCTATGCTACAGCTTCGGTAAAGGTCATTGACCTTTTCATGAATAACTTTACTGGTCATGGTGTTATCACCCGTTATCATACACAAGAACATAATTGCGCGTGTACAATTTGCCTTGTGTATCAGGAGATACAATCCATTCACCTTTTCTGTCTACATTTGCATTCTGATAATCTTTTATAATTAATTTGATCAAATAATTAATTAATTTCACAAGTTTTTTAACTAAAATATATATATA